AAATGCCTAAAAGCACTGTGCTGTCAAGTCTAAGGCATGAAATTGACTTTCACAGGTGTGTTCCTGGCTACGTATATACATGCATGCATTTTACTGCCTTTCCTTGATTCCAGTGAGCAACATTTGTTAGCATCTCCTTCCTTATGACAGCACATCTCTAGAATACTCATATCCCAAGCTAGATCTTTGCTACGAAAAAAAAATCAGTAAATGGCAATCACTTCCTGCTGGGTAAAAAATTTAATTCCTCATCCTGAAGTTAAGAACCCACCAAACACGGTGTGGAAGCTAGTAAACCCCACTATGGGTGTACTAACTGCTGTTCTCACTGGCACCATGCCTTGCAAAGTGGAGACAGGCAGAAATGCCTCTGAGTGTAATCCTGGCACCAGAGAAATCATGTTTTCTCTGGGCCAGTCATCCATTCCTCCCTCTATAGCTCCATTACAATATAATTAATTGTTCGATGTCTCCAGGAGCACTTCTTCCCTGCCCTCTTCCTATTATACACCTTGAAAATTAGTTGAGAAAATTTCCTATCAGGAAGGTAGCTGGCTCTGACTCCTGTGTTAATATGGAGAGGGAAATCTGCAATGAAGAAGCTAAAATAATGGTTCTGAAAAATAGGAGGAAGAAACATGATACACCAACATAAAGAAAAGGGCAAACAAGACACATTATGAAATAATTCTGGTTTAAAGGTACTCTTCTCTAAACAATTTCATTCTATAAACACGTTGCAGATAAACATTCTGAATGAAGAGATTCTAAATCTGGTTAATAATTACAATTTAGTAATTTTGACTTCTTCAACATCCTTTAATGAAATAGGAATCACTGTATTAATTTTACAGATAAAGAAATCAAATGCCAGGGAGATTAAGTAAGTTGCCCAAAGTCACATAACGAGTGAGTAGAGCTGAGAATCTAAGTCTGACTTCAGATCCCATACTCTGAACTACTTTATTGTCTCTCAATGCCCACCATTCCTTAGAAACTGTTGTCTCCCTTTTCATCTCTGGCAGTTATACAGGCATCCCAGGATTTTCTTTATATGCAATGAAACCATCTATACATCTGAAAGAGAAATCATATAAACCTCTGATCTTATTTTCTACTACACTGTATTTACCATGCCTTGCTAAAGTATATGAATTTCTTCAAATCAACGGTGCTATAAAAAAGGGTGAGTAGGTATTGAAAACTGGTTTCTCAGTCTATATCTGTGTTATAAGTCAAAACCTTTTATGATGGAAGCTCTTTGACACCAGGGACCACTTCTATATGAAATGCTTAGTACCTTTGAGAGTGTGAGTGAGTACATGATAAATGCTAAATATTAAATTCAGAATGTTATCATAAAAGGTAATCTGCTGATTAAGAAAATGGACTTTTCCTAAGTGATCTTTTATTATACGTTTAAGAGTTACCATTACTGAGCAGAGAGCATATTCAGTATTATTTGAGAGAAGAAATGACAGAGTTCATGTCCTAGGGGCAGACTGTCAAATTCATCTAGATACAAAATACAACAGCAAAGTAGAAATTAAACCCAAAGCTTTATTAGAAAACTATATTTACTTATTTGTTTTTGGTTGGAGAAAATAGAAGAAACTTTCGAAGACAGCATTTGGGGAAAGGTATAACAAAAAGACTTTACTGACAATAGGTTTGATAAGACAATTTGAAAGAATAAAATGAAAAACTGATCACAGACTAAATTTTTTTATAAGAAAAAGTTGGGGAGGACACTAACACAAGAAGAAAGGCAACACATAAAAATAGAAGCAGTCACAGAAAGTCAAGGGGATACAGGAAGAGGTCCTCATGGGGTGGACAAATATTTGTAATTTCATGGGGCTATATCAAGTTAAGATGACAAATGTGGCCAAAGACAAAGGAATGTAGTCACAACTCTGAAGGATACTCTAAAGAACAGGAATGGGTTCCTGTGGTTGAA